ACTTCGGGATCATATTCAACTCCATTCCAAAATTTTGCGTATCGCTTACGAGATTGTAAACCATCAAAATAAGGTTCGAGTTCCCCTCGTTTGACCAAATGATGACTTTTCCTCATGAGGAAAGGATTTTTATACTAAAATAATACTTGTTTATCGTGACAGCATTTAATTAAATTACACATAATTAAATTAGTTTCTTTACCCATCCTTTTGCAACAGAAACATTAGCAAATATTTTTTCCAATTCGTCAAAAGCTATGATATTTTCTGGGTCTGGTAATCTTGATCCTAGTAATTATTAATTTTATTAAAAAAAAAAAACAGAAATTATTTTATACTATAAAGTTTACACACTTAACAGTATACGTAATTACCATGTCTAGAAACCGAATGTAATTGTTTTAATTCGCATTTATCAGGATAACTAATGGGTTGAATGTCAAGAGAAAAGGCAGTTTGTGGTGGTTCAAGGTTAAAAAGCTTGCTGTTGAGAAGATATTCTCTAGTATATTTGTATGTTTCACATAATGTTGGGTTATAGGAAACAAATAAATTGATGATAAAAATTGAATATAGAATACGATATGGAAACAACATCATTTTTAAAATTACAACTAATTTTCTTTTAAAAAAGAAAGTTGAACGTGGAGTTAAAAACTTTAATATTGTCAATTGTCAATATTATAAATTAACCGAATAAAGAAAATTTTTACGGATAATTATTTTTTTGTTTGAAAAAAGAAATGTGATAGTATTATAGTATGATAGTATGGTAGTATGGTTAAAATTTTTGGTATTAGCTTTGGCGTCTTAAAACCGGTTAACGATGTCGATATATTTTAACCAATTTTTTATTGGACATTAGGAGCTAAGCTATTAAAATCAGGTTACGGTTGGAATTCAATTTTGATATTTAGGATCGCAATTATCGATTCATACGATCATTATTGGTGAGATTTCGATGGTCTCCACAGAACTGCTTGACTTTTTATCAAACCTATTCGCTAATATTCACAGTAACACCCTCGCTATCGTTTCTCAAGATTCAACTCTAAGATTCGATTTTCGATTTTCGATTATTCTAATATAATCGATCGATCCATTGAGTTGTATAGAGATGCAAATAAAAAAATATTTAAAAAAAAAAAAATTAATTATTTAGAACCTGCGATTATAAAAAAAAAAAAAAAAAAAATCGCGCTTTTTCGTAAATTTTTTTTTAGGTAGAATTAAAAAAAAAGAATACATCGGAAAAAAAATCAATTAAAATAAATCAAATTTAAAATTAAAAAAAATAATCGATTAAAAAAAAAAAAATTTAAAAATTTAACCCGCGATTATAATAAAATCATTAAAAAAATTTTGCTAATTAAAAAATATTTAAATAACATTTAACGCTAATTGTGAAAAATAGAATTTTTACAACTAAAAAAGTTCCGAGTCCCTCGAATATATGGGAGCTAAACTATTAAAATCACCTTACGGGCCCATCAACCAAAAATGAGATATTTAATTCATATTATTATATGAAATATGAACTTAATTTGGTTAAATTTTTATAGTCAATTATCTTTATTACCGTAAAACACCGAAAATAAGCAACTACCCAAAATAAGCACCTCCTAGACTTTCGTCATGGTGTAAGCAAAAACTAAAAATAAGCACCCTCTTATAGCTGATTGGTCAGTTGGATTTCAATGCACGACGACGAAAAATCCGAATTTTGGCATCGGCGACGTAAAATTCCGTGGATTTTCTGTCATGTGTTATAATCGAGATTTTAATATAAAAAAGATTTGAATAGTTTAATTAAACAAACTGCTATTCTTTTATTAGATTTTTTTGATAAAGTTTGGAAAAACAATAGTCAAGTTGAAAAAAAATGGAGGGTAAAAGAGATTTTATATCAGTTATAAATTTTTAATATAGAAATAAATGAACTAAAAATGATTTATTAATGAATTTATACCAAATTCATAAAATCTATTATTTAATCGATAAAATACTATCATCTAATTCATTTAAATTTTCCTTTTCATATTCTTCAATCAATTTATCAATTTCTTCATAAACTAAATCATCTTCTGATCCATTTAATATTTTTGAAATAGCATATTTTTAAAAGAATTAAAAATAATTTGATCTGAAACAGCATCTCATGAACGTTTAACCCAACTACACATATCACTAATTTTGCTTTTTTAAGTTACTTGCTGCTGTTGTACCAGCACTAACATTACACATCCATTCATGCTATTCTTTACGCAAATTATCTTTAAAAGGCTTGTTAATTGATACATTAAGTGGTTGATATATACTAGTTAATCCTGCGAGAATTATAGCTAAATGAAAATTATGCTATTTAAATTTAGCTTTAACATTTTCTCCAAGTGATCTCAAAATGAATCATATACTATCATAGCAGATTTCTTTGACAAATTTTCAGACATTCGAAATTTAAATAAAAAATCAATATAATTTTTCATTAAATCTGATATTATCAATCCATTTTCTTAAAACTAACAAATAACATCTTTTGAAATAACTTTACCACAAAAAAGTTCTTTTCTTTAAAAATACAGATAGAAGGATATTTTGTATCATTTGCAATAATAAAAAGCATTATTAAATTTAATAAAATATAAAATAAAATAAAAATTAAAAAAAATCCATATCAGTAAAACTACAGTAAAATGATTTTCATCATTTCCAGTAGTAGAGATATACTGTTTTATTTATTTTATTATTAACAGTTAAATTTTCTTTTATATTAAACCAAACTGGAGTTTTATTCATATTAAAAATGTTATTTAAATCAAAATTATACTATATCCTCAACTTTATAACTAATTTTCTAAATTCTTCTAATTTTGTTTTTAAACCTTCAGGTAATTTCTATGAATTTTTCTTAATAATAGGTTAAATCTCTTCATAAAAAAATTATTTCAAGAAAAATTTTCTTAAAATTCATATTTTTCTGTTAGATACAATGCTTAGATAGTAGATTCTTTGAAAAATTTAAACATTTGTAATCTAACAGAGATATAATTAACAGATAAACTTTTCTTTCTCTATTTTATAATCTAATTATATAAGAGATTTTCTACTTCAGGATAAAAGCTTTTCTTTCTAACTAACACATTTTTTTTACTTGTTTTTTTTATTTTCTTAATCTATCTTCCAATTATTAGACTATCTAAATCAAAATATTTTCTTATAGCATTTTTTTCATATTCTTGAACATATTTAGTTTTTCTTTAACTAAATATAATATTCTTTTTCTTGTGTTTACTCTTTTTTTGTTATTTTTTTAAAAGTTATAAAAAACTTGCAAATAAGCAAATGTGAAAATTTATTTTTTAATAGACATAAAAAATGTTTTTTGTAATAGGTTGAGTAATAGATACAAAAAAAATCAATTATTTTTATAATAAACTAAAGGTAAGTAAATAAATAAACAGGTAATTAGATATTAAGAAAATTTTTAAGTAAACAAGTGATAGATACAAAAATACTTTTTTTATTAATAATAAATATTTGAATGATTAATATAAAAATTCAAACTTATTTCATAATAAATCTATAAATAAGTAGCAAATATAAAGAAAAAATTAAAAATTTTTATTCTTTTTTTCAAAATAATAGATGGATAGTAAATATGATAAATTTTTTTTATAATATACAAAATCTCAAAGTAACATAATAATTAAAATTAAGTATTTTTACTAAAGATAGGTATCCTAATTAAAATGTTACAATATTTAATGTTGTAATATTATATTATAACATTATATAAATTCTTTAATAATTATAACATATATTATAATTTAGAAAATGTTGCAATTTAAAATATAAGTTATAATTAGCTATAACTTGAAATATAATTAATTACAAATTTTTAAAAAATAATTTTAAATATTAATTATAAATAATAATTATAAAATTTTAAATAATACATAGCATATTTTATGAAAAAAATCTGATAAAAAACATCAAAAAATTTTTTAAATAAATTAGTAATCTTGATTAATTCTTACTAAAATCTTGAATTTTAATACATAATTTTTTTCATTTTTCAATATAATGAATGAATTCCAAAAATGGACATAAAGAAATTAAAAATATGTATTTATATATGACATAATTTAAATATATGTTTTAACATAAAAATGCTTTATTTTTTTAAATAAAAGTAAGCAAAAGGTGTTTATTTATTATCAAGATTCTTAAAATTAAATAAGAAAAAATTAGCTTATTTTTTTTGTGATTATGAACAATATATGAGAGATTTTTTTTTTATCCAAATACACTACTTCTTTGTCTTCATAATATGATATATTACAGGATAGATTTTTTTTAAAAAAAAAAGTTGTTCAGTCTGCAATAAATAGGAGATAGGAAAATTTAGAAAATTTATACAAAAGGTAACAGGTCAATTTACTATAATAAATATATATAGTGTATTACAAAAGTTTTTAGACAAATTGATTTACTTATTATGCAGTAACAGATTATTCAAATCATAAACTAGTTTATTTAATTGATTAAAAGTATAAAATTATATTTTTAAAATTAATATAAAATTCTTTCTCCAATTTTTTTTATTATTAGTTCACATCATTTTCTCATAAAACATACTAAATTAATAAAAATTACTTTTAAAATATGATTTCATTTTTCCATCTTAAATTGTTCTAATTCTACTAAAATTTTTGGTTATTATTTTTCTATATTTCCTTTTACGATATTTCACAAGTTTTCTATAGGATTGAGATCCTTTTAAATTTATTAATATTATAATAAATTATATTTGTTTTTTTTTTGAATTACATTTACACTTATAATTTCTTTATTCCAAAAATGTTTTATAACTTTAGCTTGTGAATTATGTAATTTAATTATATTTTAGTCACCTATCATTAGAAAAAAAATTAATTTAGTGATAAAAAATTAAAAAAAAAGATCTTTATATTTATATTGTCAACGGAGCAATTGACCAGTCATAATGAAGTCACGTGGATGACGCAATATGACGATCTTTTAATCCAGAATTCT